TTTTTAATGTTTGTGTGATTGTGTTTTTTTCTGCCATTTTCGAGTTTCTCAAAGCGTTATCGTAGGCCATTTCGCCACCAAAAAGCAAAGAATAAATGCTTACAACCTGACACAACTGTTTTTATTGCTTTGAAGACGCGAGAAACTGCACCTGCTGCTTAGATAAGCGCGAGCGCAGCTGTACTCGGCTGTTTCTTGCCTCTGCCAAGATGGCCGCCGGCGGCTCGGCACGGCTTCACCCCCTCCCATGGGTAAGCATAGGCGGCTTCCACTCCAGCAGGTTTTTATATCCTCCTTGGTTACAACCAGCATTTAGTAATTGTTACTACCCTAGAAGTTACCCCCCCCCCCCCCCATGGGAAGTAACTTTTAAGGTTTTAAAGAAAAAAATGTAATGACCGATACTACCTTGTTTATTCGCTATGGCATATTATTGCTCCACTGCTAATAATAAATGTTGCATTAGTTACTATACAACTTCGGGTAATAACTCGCTGTGCGTCATGAACGCGAAGAATACATAGACTTCACAAGTTCACTATTTTAGGGGCGAAGCTCCTTAGGGCGTGGGCTGTGCGTCCCCTGTAGCCTGTATGTAGCCACCTCTAGTTTAGTTCTTGCAGTGTTCACTAGATGGCGGTACGGTCCCCCGTATGTAGCTACCTCTAGTTTAGTTCTTGCAGTGTTCACTAGATGGCGGTACCGTCTCCTGTATGTAGCCATCTCTCGTTTAGTTCTTGTAGTGTTTACTAGATGGTGGTACTTGTAGCTGATGATGAAAAGATGCAAGATGTTATAAACTAGAAAGCGGTACTTGTAGTTGATGAAAGACGCGAGATCTTATAAAATAGGAATGATGTCACATATGGCGCGTGTGATTGGTTGAAGGCAATCGTTCGATTTAGTGCGGCGACGTACGCTAGGGGGAGCGATGTAATAAAATCGAGTGGGCAAAATGTACAGAGGATTCATGGTTTACCAGGTTTACCTCCGGAGCTTCGCCCACTCATCATCATTCACTTCGTGGATATGGCGGAATTTTTTTTACGCGTACAGATGTATGAAGTACGCATGGGGTATATATAGCCCCTACTTTGCAGGGGCATGTCTGGAACAGGGGAGGACTTGTGTTTTAAGATGAATTATAACAAATTCGAACCAATAGCGCTATAATATACTACCTGGTTACGTATGTTCGGGGAAGTAGCACAAGACTTTTGATCAGCCTTACTTATAAAAAAATGTATGTCATATTTGTTCATTTATTATAAAAGGGTCACAAAAAGGCATTATGGACAGTGGACGACACAAGGTTATGAACTCATTTTCAGTGCATTTGAATGTTTCACATGGCTATAATATATCAGCGTTTACAAGGTATAATATTTGTTCGTTGGGGTTTGACGCGCCAAAACAAAGATAATGTTTAGAGACACGCCGCACTGGGTTGATGGTGACCATTTTCTGGGATAATTGCGACCGTCTGGTGATTTTGATCCGGCGGTCTTGTTAAGATGTGCTGTAACTTACTAAGTTTGTTGTAATTGTCTATTGCAACGCGTGTACACTTGCCTATGGTTCGTCAACTTGTACTTCTCCGTTTCGACAATATCATAATCACGTTGATATATCTCAGTTGCGTAATTTAAAACAAAATGTATTTTCTTGATCTATCGATATTTTCCGCGCCATTTTTTCGTTTATTGATATACGTCGAGACGATTCCTCTGAAAAATAATCAGAATTGTAATCACACGCTATATTGGATTAAATAGTCAACAGCCTGGTAGCAAAAAGGTAGTAACGGGACAAGAGAAGTAGTGACGGCTGCAGTTACATTTTTCATTCCATTTACTAACTGTTTACTAACGTTCTATAGTAAACAGATAGCAAAAAGTTAGTAATGGTTGCAGGTAGTAACTGTTTACTAACGTATGTTGTAAACAGGTAGCAAAAAAGTAGTAACTGTCCAAGCAAGATAGTAATCACTGCAGTTACTACCTATTTGCTTGCAGTTGCTACCTTTTTACTAACTCTTTTTTTTTAAGAGTGGATGCCTCGCTCCCTTCCAACTCTTTCATATTATTTTTTGCGTTCGTTCTCTCTTTCGCGTTGTCCTTCAGTCTGATTTAAAGACAGTGAACACAAAGCGACAAATTAACCTCTTCCTCAATCCGATGTGGTGATCTACCGTTGCACAAATTGCTTGCTTTTGCATATATGATCAGGGCGTAATTTTGGCTTATGCCACCAGCTTATGTGATACTCTGAATTAGACTTTTAGGTTATAACATATGATGGTGATGATTATGGTGAAGATAAGGATAATTATGAGGACGATGAGTGGGAGTGTTTAACCCGACAAGAAACGCGTGATTTTTCGCAATCTCGCGGTGTGTGAAAAAGTACGCAGCTACCGCTTGTGCACTGTTTACTTGCTGTTCGTTCAAAGTGTGCAATTACAATATTAAGTCTCTGAGATACTCCTGGATACCCTGGATGCACGCTTCGGAGCTACCGTTAACAATCTTTCTTTTGCGGGTCACGAACATGAGCAGAGGGCTTAGACATATAAGCACAGTTTTTGTTGCAGAAACATGAAACTCGTTCGTTGGCCCCGGTGCCAAAGAAAGAAAGAAAGAAAGAAAGAAAGAGAGAAAGAAAGAAGAAAAGAAAGAAAGAAAGAAAGAAAGAAAGAAAGAAAGAAAGAAAGAAAGAAAGAAAGAAAGAAAGAAAGAAAGAAAGAAAGAAAGAAAGAAAGAAAGAAAAAGAGATTGAATGCGCAGAGATTGTCTGCGGGCCAGACAAAAAGTTATTGAACCGAAGTTCAGAAACGGCGTGGCTGCCTGTATAAAAGTACGTTGCACTCATGCATGCCGACGTATGCAAATAAAGACTTAGCGCACATTTTAGGCAGTTTATGACGCATCGATCAATTTTGTTTCACAGCGTTCGCAAAAGCAACAAAAAAATGACACGTGTCCGTCCGCTTGAATTGATTGTCTCTTATTTGCAATGCTATATCACTGGTATGATCGGTGTTACCGCTATAGTGAAACGTAATGATGGAAAGCGGTGTTTTTTTTTATTTACGCTGTGTGCCTTAACACAGTTGAACAACACCGCGAATTATCCTTTGTATCCTTCCTACCTGAGGTCTCCTCGATTCGGCTGCACCTTTTAGATGTAGTGCACAAAGTGGCATGCCAGTGCCGTGCCATTTCCTCTAGTTTTAGTGAAGCACGAAACTATAGGGCTGTCGGTGCATCGAGGGCAAAGGTGCAGCCAAGCCGCATATTTGCACGCGACGAGAACTCGCAAGTAAGCTAGTGCTGCAGTGCTGATGAACTCGAGTAGCACGACGTCAAATCGAGTGCCGAAGTGCAAGTGGTGCGATCTGCTCTCGCCGAATCAGAGGCCAAAGTGCATCACTCCAGAAATTCAGAAAGAGCTGCCATGCCGAGGAGACATCTGTGCTAGCCGAGAAAGTACGAATCACGATTTCGCGCGTTTTTTTTTTTTTTCGCCCGAAAAGACACACATGCGCGGATTCATTCGCACCGACACTCAGACTTATCAATGACGGTGTGTTGGCAAAGCATATGTTCAGGCACCGCGAAGCGTGAAAGGAAGAAATGTTTGTCACAGAGACAAAAAAAGTTATCTATGGCATTGCTGATTAACTGATTGCTTTCGTATACGAGAACAGTGAACGATGATAAAGAGGTGCATCGTCGTCGCCATCGAAGAGAGTGCGCCCACTTCAGGGCAGACGCCTCTTCTATGGGGACAAATGCGGCCTTGTTGGTAAGACAATATTTAGCACAATCGAACACAAGGGCGCGAAGGGGGAACACAACATATGCGCACGTGTTTTCACCTCCCTTCCCTTATCCGTGCTTTCTTTGCGCTAAATATTACCTAATGTCTCTCCCATGTTCCGCCAATCAACTGGGTCCAGTGCATGCTGTGGCCACTTTTATGTATTCGAACTACTTCTAATCTCCACTAACTGGTTAAACTTATGTATACAAGTCTGTGAGGCGTCTTACGCACACCCGTAACTCTTAAGTAACACGATACTGGTAAACAAAGCCACAAACGAGACATTGGTGTCTTTCTCCGAAGCCCGTGTTTTTCTCATCGGCATCGCCAGTGTCACCATTTCATTGTCCTCATTGTCGTCATCATCAACGGGAATGCGCCCACTGCAGAGCAAACGCCTCTCCAGTGCCCCTCCTATCAAATGGGTCCGGTGCTTGCTGTGCAAACTTCAGCAAACTTCTCTTTTCTAATCTGGCTCCCAAACTTTCTACACCCCCTTCTCGCGCACTTGTTTTCTTTTAAAATCCAGATACACTCCTAATGACTGACCAGCGGCTATCTTGCCTATGTGTTACGCGCATCTGGTCCATGTCCATTTATTCATGATTTAGAGTAAGCTATATTCTTAACACCAGTCTGGTCCTTGACGCATTCTGCTTTATACCTGTTCCTTAAAGTTGCACCTGTATTCCTTTCCATGGCTCACTGCGTCGTCCTCGGTTTCATTTGAGCCCTTTTTGGAAGCCCCCAGCCTTCTGCACCGTAGGTAAGTATAGTCATAAAATGCAGCTGTTGTAGAGTCAAACCCCTTTATAAGAGACACTGATATAAGAGACAAATGGGTATTAGAGACACCAGTGTGCCTACAGTAAAATAGGGGTTGATAAGAAAATGCATACAAGGTACCCTGCTTATACGAGACGTCACATATAAAAGACAAGAATTGCTGCCCAGAGCACGTCTGTTATAAAGGGGTTCAACTGTATATCTTTCTCTTGAGCTCGGGATAGTGGAAAACTACCATTTATGATTTTAGCACACCTGCCGAACGCACTTACTTCCGTCTCATTGTTCGGTTCCGAGGACATTGCATGTCCTAATTGACGTATTCATTTACCTTCCATGAATGACACGTTACATATTTATAAACTAATCAAACGCTTAGTTACACTTACCTGTCGCGGAGTGTTTCGCTCGAAGTTGCGTCGTTGTCCCCGTGAACCGGCGAGGCCTCGGTGTTTTGCGCGTGTATGCAAACGAAATAGCTTGACGCGCAGGACGCGTCAAGCTCCGCAGCGCGCTCACGGCCGTGTATGGCGCCGTCCGAAGAGACGGATTCCTATCTCTGACAATCACCTGCCAAGTGGTGGAGACCTCTCAAAAGCGAGGGAATGAGAGTTGAGCGCTTGTCTCACTCACACACACAAAAAAGAAATAAAAGAAATATATACACAATAGCTAGATTCTGTGGACTCTGTGTCTTCTTATCGCCTGCCAAGCCTCGTGTGCACTCGTTTTTTTTTTTTTTTAGCCCACTGCTGTCTCATTTTCTCTCTTCCTCTCTGTTTTAAAAGCTCGTTGTTTCGCAACACATTTCTGCGCTTTCGACAACTTCAGTTCTCGTTCTATCTTCTCCACCTCTCCTTCCTCCTGCTTTTGTTTTGTTTTGTCGATCCTCTACTTGTTCGTTCACGCACTATCATGTCCTGTGCAACGAGGAAAGGCTAGAAAGCTAGCCGCTGTCATTCGGTATGGTGGCTTTCAACACGTAAAGCAAGGTGGCAGAAAGGAAATGGCAGGGTCAATGACAGAACAGCATTCCCAAGAGTAGCGTCAGTTTTACGCCCCCCCCCCCCTCCCCCCGGCATCCCAGCAGCAGTCAAAACACAGCACATACGTTCCTCCGATTTTCTCCACCAGGTTGGTGGCAGGTCGGCATCGGGTCGGGCGGCGTTTTTGAATACGGGGGTTAGTATGCCGTTTCAATAAATGTTTATTCTTCCTCCTCCTCCTCCCCTTCTTTGTATACAGTGAAATCCATGTGTGTGAGTGGCTGTTCGGAAGTTATGTGTTTATTGGTGTATTAATCACCCAGTATCTTTGTAGCATGTCAGGTGAAGAGCCATGCCGCCAAACATCTCGGGCATCTCAGCATGTCTTTCTCTCTTCTCAAGCCCCTCACCCCCCGAAGGAATACGCTTGTCGTCTGTGACCCCCACCCAAGATAAAAAAAAAAAAAACTCACAGCATATCAATGGAGTGCATGATGATGAGTGGGGCGAAGCGTCTGTGCTTCGCCCCACTTCGCTGTGCTTCCGTCCTTCCATCTGTGCGGCCGTCCATCCGTTCATGCGTCCGTCCGTGCGTCCGCCCATCCACCCATGCATCCATTCGTCCGTGCGTCAGTTGTGCGTCCGTCCATCCATCCGCGCGTTCGTCCGTGCATATGTCTGTCTTTCTATCCGTCCGTCCATCTAGTGAACACTCCAAGTACCGCCATCTAGCATATCTTCATCATATTGTCGCGAGAGCAAGGTTTCGCGGAGAATCTTGTTCTTTTACGGCTTACAAACGGAGCAGTCAAGGTCGCCCCCGTTCGGGATTAGAAGGGGAAAGCTTACTCGGAAAAGCGTCTAGCAAGAGGCAGGTCCGGCGCCACCGTCTGAGTCTAAGCCATTGTTAACAGGCACGCGTGTCATTGAGAATGACATGGGGACGCGACCACTTAGCCTGACCGAGACATAGTGGGGGCAGGTAAACGACCATATTCTCCCGCGCTGTTGTTAGGATGTCGGGGCGCCTCGCTGTCGCATGTACACCTGGTAAGCAATGGTGTACCCATCGCTCTTAAGGACGCTTCTAGGAAGCAACAGTTAATGAAAGAACTGACGGGGCCCGAGCGTGGGAACGGCCGCCGACGGTAGTCGACCGAAGGAGGCAGCACGAGTAATGTTGGGCAGCACGGCCTGGTATGGGAGAGAGTTTCCCGTGCGGAGAACCTATCCCTTTGCGTGTTTCATTTGGTAATCAGGCACTGCGCCGTGCTCCCGACCGGGTTGCAGAAATTAGGTGCCTTTTCTCATCTTCTAACCACTACCACCACCATTTGGTAAGGAGGTTTTTACAAATGTAGTGCCTTTTATGAAAGTGTTTCTGTGATTGGTTGTGATGCTGCGAGTCCCAACATGTGATTGGTTTTTGTGAAGACTCTTTGTTCGACCAAGGGTTAAAAAGAGGATATTTGAACTTGAAAAGTGAGCGGAGTCGGGGTAGACAGCGGATCTCACCACCGGGGACCAGCTATGCAGGCCGAGGGGTATGCCATCATTTTCTATGTTTTGTCTTTGTGACCCAGTGCATTTTGTGAATTGAAGTTGTGTTAGCTAAATAAACCCCCAATGAGTGCTCCCCGAAATCATCGTGTTGACGTCTCTTCGATTGCCTCCGCGGAGTTTCACCCACACTTATTCGTCTCCCTGGTCGTCCGATGCGCCTAACTTGAACAACCCCGATTTTTCGCTACAATATATTCATCATATAGAAGTACCGCCATCCAGCGGACATTCAAAAAAATAAATGAGAGGTGGCACGGTCGGACTTTAGGAGCGGCACGCGCACACTCTCTTACGGCTTGCACTTCGTGTCTAGTTCCCACCTTTCACCGCCGCTAATTCATGGCACTGTAGCTCAACCCTCGCTAAACATTGCTAAAACCAAGGAGGTTGCACCCAACGAGTTTAATGTGGCAACCTTTTCTGGTCAGGTAGTGCTCAAAGTGCGTCCTTCTGTTATAGTTTGTTTTAGTAAGGCAAATTTTATTGGAGATTAAGTCACCGGTACTCGCCTCTGTAGGGTACTTGATCAGAAACAACTATCTTTTTTATTTATGATTAATGTGCGCGGGTTTCCTGTTTAATCGACAAGGGTGCACGCGTGCCACTCCTCCAGTCCGTCCGTGGAGGTGGCTACTACTACTACTGCTACTACTACTACTACTACTACTACTACTACTACTACTACTACAACAACTACTACTACTACTACTACTACTACTACTGCTACTACTACTACTACTACTACTACTACTACTACTACTACTACTACTACTACATACATACATCACAGACGCACGACCCACGGATAAGAAGCTTCGCCCCATAATAAGATCCTGTCGCAGTTCTCGTGTATTCATCTCTCAATGTGCAACACCTTTGAAACACTCCACGATGCTCCGCATCACCCCATGGTCCCCTTCGGGGAGGTGGTGTAATATTTTCTTCACGTTTACGCTGCGTTTACTACTAACAACATCCATACTTTCCTTGGCGTCATTGTCTGTTAGTTCTTATTAATATCGCGACTAACAAAAAAAAAAAAACGAGCCCTCAAAATTTCGCTTCTTTCCCAGATATTATAGAGGCGGTGCCGGGATTATTTTACCGGGGGGCACCCACGATAGACGAGTTCCTTGAGGGAGGGGGGGGGGGGGGGCAGGTGAAATATTTTGGGGGCTCCAGCCTGCCACCCTTGGCGCTGGAACATTTGATATATATCTAATATATAGCAATCTGGAAGAGCATATCGGGTCCACAGTCCTCCAGGAAAATGAAAACTCTCCACCTATGCATGTCATTGTTTGTTTTTAAGCTTCGCGCTGTTTTAACATATGTCGCAGAACATTGTGCAAACCCTTTACTCGGTCTTTCTTTTTCAGCTTACCTTGTACCTCGCTGTTTATTGTGCTGTGGTAAACTGAGCACGTATTCCAACAATGTCGTATCCAGATGCTATTTTCACATTTCTCTTTTTTCTTGTTCATACTTTCTGCTCTACGCTGCCTTCGTTTATTTTTTTACAATAATTTATTGGTGTTTATTTTTATTTATTTGCGCCAGCACTAAGGCCTTAGGGTTGTTCCTGTGCATGTTAAATAGGATATTGTTATTGTTGTTGTTTTGGGTTGTTGGATCTTGTGTATCCTTCTTTGTACCAGGATGCTGCGTCTTTCCCGATTTTCTACGTTTAAGCAGGAAATTTTAGCGCTGTACTACCATCATGCTGATGTCGCTGAACATTTAACTGATGTAATTCAACATAGCCCGCGCAAAGTGTGTGTAAAGAGAAAGAGCCATCGAGCCTCCTAAAACTGCTGGTTTAAAAATCCCGCCGACTGTCAAAATAAGCTTGGACTGCTACACCCGTCACAATAGCCTTGAGTGCTTTTTGTTTACAAGCTCGTTCCAGTGTCCTCGGCCGCCTGTTGCTGTGCACTGTGCCGCAGGCTTCTAGGTAAGTGGGTCGAAATTTTAAGCACCATCATCAACAGTGCGTGTGCTGCCCATTGTGCTGAGGCTTGCCGTCTTTACAGCGAGCGCCTTCATGGTCGAGTAACTTTGCCGGGTGGGAGCCATGGCCAAACATCGGCAGCCAGAGCCGAGTAAGTACGCGATCTTTGTTTCTCGTCGCGATCGAATAGTTGCAACTACACTCGGCTGGACAGAAGCCGTTGAACGAGAACGTCCGCACCCTGCTTTAGATGTCGAACTAGTTTATTCAATCTGATCAACCTGTTGTCACGTTGGTTTCGCAACGGATCACGCACACAGCGAGCGCGTCAACGCCATCGCAAAACTGTCATAGCCGGCATTCAGTTGCCATGCAGAAACGCTAGTGTTATTGGCGCCTGTGACACTTCTCGAGCAACGTCGATGACAGTGAACAGATTATCGGGCTAGCTTCACTAAACCTGTAGCCACTATATTCAAACGACTCGCGCGTGGTAGTGAAACTAGTAAAATCACTTTTGTGACAGGCGGCCCCATTTGCGTTCAGTGGCGGATCCAGAGGGGGGGGGGGGGCGGTAGGGGCGATCGCCCCTCCCCAAACCCTGTCAGCACCCCCCCTTCCCTTCTCTTCAGTGCTTGCCGTTCATCTGCTATCCTCAATTAGGACAAATGAGCGGGAGCACTTTGAGCACACATTAACAGTATTTATGCTCTGAGAGAGTTCTTGGAGTAGTAAAAACAAAAAATAATAAGCACGCCCCCCCCCCCCCCCTCCTGTAATGAGTGGAGGTATTTGCCCCTGTTTCTGTAGTCTGGGAAGAGAGTTTCTCCTTTTATTGTGACTTCTCTATCGTCTCGCTTTGCGTGAAGTTAAGTTGTTTTTGAAAAATGCAGCACTGGAGGTGTTTTACCACCACCCTGGTGATCAGCAGTTGCCGAATATGGTGCTACAGTGCATCAGCACTTTATGTCATCTGCCATACAGTTCAGCTAACTGTTGAGTGTAAAGTTCGCTACTTGATGCGATATTCCAGCATTCTTTCAACTATGACGGTGCATTTAA